GGTTGGCTGTACAAAATACAGTGCACTCGACTTGGTCGATGGGTGTTACCAATTACTCATGAGAGCGAGTGATATTCCGCTGACAGCGGTGAGTACTCCGAGCGGGGTGCTCAGAGAGTGGCTGGTGATGCCCCAAGGGCTGTCAAATGCAACAGCAACATTTAATGTGACACAATTTATAGGTCCCACCGGGCGTACACACAGACATACCTCGACGACATCTTCGTCCACAGTCGTGCTGGGCACGGGAGGATAGGTGAGGAAAACCACATCGTTCATTTGATGGCCTATCGAATAAGCCGTATACTGGGAAACGTGGCCTTCGAGCGGATCCAGCTTAGGTCAAGGCCACTGTGGACTGGTCGATTCCAAAGAACGAAAATGACTTGCGCAATAGAACGACCCCGCCAACTACTTGCAGCAAATTATGCGGGAATAGCACGGCCATTGTCGAATCTCCTTAAGAAGAATACGGAGTGGTTTTGGGACACCGAGCATCGGGAGGCTTTTGATACGGTCAAAGACAGCCTCTTTAGGCACCAATACTGGCGTTACCAGACTCCGATCGTCCTTTTAGTGTCGTCTGTGAAGCTTCGAACTTTGGCATTGGCTGTGCACTGCTGCAAGCAGACACCGAAGGGCGAGATCGGGTGATCGCGTGGAATTTCGCCAGCTCAAGGCTGCAGAGAAGAACTACCCAATTTACGGCAAGGGATTACTTGCGATGAAGTATGCACTTGTCAAGTTCAGGGTATATGTGCTCGCTCCAAGTCAGTTATGATCTACATAGCTCATGCGTTATTTCGCACTGCGACTCAGTCGCCTCACCTCCCGCAGAGGATGGCCAGGTGGCCGAATATACCTTCGATGTGAAGTATAAGCCAAGAAAGCAGAATGCTACGGGCTGATGCGTTGTCACGCAGACTACATTATGGGCTTGGATATGTCATGACGTGACGTCGTCAGTGACGGATTAGATCCATACCGCGTAGCGGGTGACGATTTGTTCGTAGCACTGCTTCGGGCTCTCGGAAGCAAGGGGTTTGGAGTCTGGGACGAGAGACTGTTAGCGTGACTGCGTGCGCGGTTGCAACGATATTCATTGAAAAATGGATTGCTGAATTATAGCACCGACTCGACGGATACGCCACGAATTGTGATTCCTCACGATGAGGATTTGAAGTACAGTATGCTCTATGAGGTCCAAGATACCCCACTTAGTTGTCATCTTGGTCGTGAGAAGACCTACAGCTCTGTGAGGCGCCACTACTGGTGGCCTAAGCTGTACAAAAGGACGAGCACCTATGTGCGCACGAGTGAGACGTGTCAAAGGGGAAACCTCTTCGAATGCGGCACCGCCGCTGGCCAGTATGCTGTACCCTCCGGGTTTGGCGATCCATGAGTTTGGACTTTGTATTTGGTCTGCCGAAAGACTCGGCGGGCAACACGGGCGCCGTGGTCTTCGTCGACCGTTTAAGTAAGATGACTTATTTTGCGGCGATGACTGACACCATCGACGGTGTCGGTACAGCGACGCTGTTTGTGGACCACGTCCTTCGACGTGTTCTCCCAGAGTCAAATGTCTCCGACAGAGATCCACGCTTCACCGGGAAAATTTGGTCGGCGAATTTCAAGGTGCTGGGCATCAAGCTGGATATGTCAACAGCGGACCATCTGTAGACCGATGGTCGGACTGAACGGGTGAATTGCGTGGTCGACGGCTTCCTTCGCAGCGACTGCGCTGTGACACCGAGAGACTGGAGCGCCATGCTGCCACTCATAGAGCACGCCTTGAACACTGCAGTGCATTCGTCTACCGGCTACACGCCGTTCTACGTGAGCGGGATCGTTCATCCTCGCATCCCGCTGGTGCCGCCACCCCGTAGTTTAAGGCTTGGTGGTGGAGAAATAGCCGAGCCGCTAGCTAATGTCAGTCTTCTCACTATTCGAAAAGAAGTCGATAACTATTTGTCTACTAGAATGAATGTCTTACGACACGTTCGCGATGCGATGGCTGAAAGACATGCAGATGGAATATGCAGACGGAAACGGAGAAAGATTTGTTGAAATCATTGAGGTCGGAGACCTGATTTATCAAAATGCAAAAACCTCCCTACCCATAAAATTTCTGCTGCCTTTAGGACAAAGCTCCGCCACGATTTATTGAACCTTTCAAGATTGTGACCAAGCGGGGCCTTACGTTAAACCATCCGAAGCGAATGCGTCCCCCCCGGTGTTATAAAAGGCTTGCTCAAGCCTTACCGGGATCCGGCGCAAGTGAATGCGGAAACATTTGCGCCGGAGCGGCGCCATACAGGCGCTCGACCACCCAAAAGCTGGACTAGCAACTGATTTTGATCACGGAGTGCAACGATCCCCATCCTTATCGGCGCCAAGTGCTCCACCTTTGCATAAAGCAACTCATTCGTCTGCTTAAAAGCTAGGAGCCGTTCCGATAGAGATCTCAACGTGAGGCAGCCGGTGCACAACGTAGCCCAAGCTCTCTAATTCTTCTGCGCGGCGGTATGCGACCTCGGCATGACGCTCAGCGGCGTCCCGATCGCGACGGACCTCGTCCTCAAGAGCTCGAAGAGCATCGCGAGTCACCGGACGGCGATCGGCCAAGTCGTCATCGTCCGCCCCCGACTCTTCTCGACGAATATGGCGGTATCAACTATCACGTAGGGCGTATTGGGGGTCGACGTCGTCGCCCGGGTCAAACTCAGTTTTTGAGGTGCCACTTTGATAGGACCCTCAGATATCATGGACGTTTATGATCATAGAAGATATGACGTTCCGCATCGTCGTACGCCCTGCGCTTATCGGCAATAACCAGGAAAGCCGACGGGCCATGAGGTGAGCTCAAGCTATGGCCCTAAGCTGTTGTGGTCACAGACTCACCCGTGTGAGAAACCACAGAGCTCGCGGGAGCGTAATGAATCAGCTCATACGTTGCAAGCAATCCGAAGGAAGTCAGCGGCGCACCATAAGTTTGGCAAACTCAAACCGAAGATGGCGCTTCATAGATATCGCGTCTGTATTCCTGGTCGTGTGACCCTGTCGCTGGCAATGCAATACGCGGTACTCGGTTACCGAGCTTGGGCTACGCTATCCTTGAAGCCGCGGACGTGCTGTCCGAAGTTGCACTGCGTGCAGGAGACAAAGAAGGACTCTGCCCGCAGGCGTTCTCGGAACCAGTGAGGCTGGGAGTCTACCGTGTCCTCGACCCAGGGCTCATTGAGCAGAGATTTTGTGAAGTAAGTTCTGGTGATGTTGTGGTGTCATAGATACGCGAGCCTCGTTCGAAATGACTATTGAATGTGAACTGCAGGTGTTCACAATCGTGATGGGGGAGAGTGTCACGGCATTTCACGTGCCCTGGTAAGGGTTTGGGTCACACACGATGAAGCGACCACACAATGGTGTGGATATACTTAGACAAGAAGTCATTCCGTGGCTGGAACAGCCAGTAGTTATACTTTGGAATTCTACTATATAGATAAGAAGACCTATATATTTAGATATAGCGGCTTTGCCGCAAATAAATCCGAGAAATACCGTGTACGTTTTAAACGGAAATAGTAATTAGCCTTGGGTTAAGATAGTGATTACTCTTTTAGTAAGTGGATCGCGATCCGCTACACTCGTACTGGTTCAAAGTATAGAACAAAAGTCACCGACCTTAACCAAGCTTTTTCTGAGCGAGCGAATACGGTAGCCCTGCTGCACATTCGACTGAAAGGTTTGTCAAACTCTAGGGTGGAAGAGCAACGTAAATCATAAAAGTCATCATGACGATCAAGATCATCACAGTGCAAATGCCCTGAACGAAGTGGAACTGAATTAATATCCAAGTTTAATAATGACAAAGGTCTCACGTGGAGCCACCGTGTGGGTTGTCACTCTAGAGGAAGCCAGACAGACCTTGACGAAGAGCGGAAGAATAATTTGAAGAAAAAGATTATTTAAGATTGAAGAATATGGGTATACCCGTTGCCAGGTCCCATTACACACTTGTGTGGACCACAAACTTTGTGGATCTAACATTAACTGTACACTTTGTATAGTTGTATAGCTCCTTTCAATTCTGTTGTATCAGAACTGGAAGTACTTATCAGCTAGACAGGTTATAAGCGTATTGGCTATAATAAATGTCGTGTCACCTTTCCCCCTCTTGACAAAAGACCCGCTGGTAGCGAGCAAAACGCGGCGAAACGTGTCAGTTGACCTAAGCCTACCTGAGTAAGTGTGTGTGCACGGACGGGCAATTCCAGTTACAGCCAAACCCAAAAATTGTCTCAGCTTCATATTGTTTGGCACAGGCCAATCATTGATGAATTTCACTTTCTTCGGATCTACAAGAACGCCATTCTTGACCACAAAGCAGTCGAGAGCGGGAATTTTGGATGCAAAGAACATCTTTTTCGGTTAGCGAAAAGTTTTTTCTTTCGCATAAGTTGGAAGACTTGACAAAGATGATCAAGATGAACATCGATATCAGACTTCTCACCCGATTTTTCTTACCATAAACGGATAGATCGTCGAAGTAATTTGGTGCAAACCCTCTCATTGGACAAAGAAGATACCATTCTGTTGAAAGTCGCGGGAGCTTTCTTCAGACCTTGCGGCATTACCAACCATTTCCACAGCATACCACTGAGGGTACTGACTGCAGGTGGTGGTGTTACCATTTCGTGCATTCCTTGCGTGAAACCGCAGTCTAGGCAGGTATGGCTGCATCGTTTAATTTAATGAGAGCGTGAACAATGCGCCAACCACCTGTGGCTCTCCTCGCATAAAATGTTGTGATACAATAAGAGACTTACTCTCACGCACATGACCAGCCTTCAGTCGCTGCGCAAAGAGCTTGATAATCGCAATGACTTCTTGTTTCGGCAACGGCCACTGCCGCGTGATAAAATACTTGGTACCAGGAAGTATGTCAATCTCATAACGAATGCCTTTGTCTGATGGCGATTTGTCCGCCACCTTGTCGGGAATTATTCCTTTACAACTTCATACACGAGGTTTGAGGTTAAAGCGTCCCACGACTGCTCATCAAACGATACCTTCCGTGTCTTCTTATCAAATTCTTCCGCAGTATTGATTTCATCGTCAATAGTTTCTTCGACAGTCGCACAAATTTTCAAAATTTCGCCTTTCGCTTGGCTACGCTTCCGCGTCTTCTTGCTCATCAACGGCAAGAAAATCAATTCTTTGACCAAACATGGAGGAATTTCAATCTTCACGTGACGGAAAATATCGACGTCACCTTCTTCGTTGTAGGCCACAACATCTATAAACTCGCTTAGAGTGTCGTATTCTTGAACACTTCCTATATCAGTACAGCTTGCACCTTGATCAGGGTCACGCAAAATACTTGACGTAAAGCTCGTTTTGGTGGCCTTCGTATTATTTCCGCGGGATGGATATTTGCCTTTAGTTCTACTATTCGTCATACTACCATCGACCATGACATCCATGTCAGTATTTTCTGGCGCCTATCTGCTCCACTTCCAGTTAATGACGTTACTTTTGTCTTCAGCTTATTCTATGATTATGAAGGACCCACGCACAGTCCAATATCACTCGAAACGTCCGTGACTTCTTCAACAGATGCATATGCCCATACGGTTTTGCTCGTCGTCATGCAGCTCGAGACACCGCTGCACGACTTGTTGACGACGATTTTCATGTTCATTCAGTCAATGCTGGGCTGGTAACGCTTCAGCTATTGCATACCTAGGATTCTATCAAACCTATCATCGAGGTTAAGTTGAAAGCTTGTCTTTCCCTCAAATATACTTTAATTTATTGCCAAGCGAATGACTTGCTTCGGTACTTCATTCTAAATCCGTTCGCCAAACAAAAAAACTTCTTTCACATTGGGCAGGCTGACACCATACCCAGTCAAAACTTGCGCTCGAATAAATTGTTCGACGCACCGGCGTTAATCAATGGGTGTAGGGATTTATAAAAACCATCTAAAAGACTTCTCGGACAATCAAAGTTGCACTTAGTCTGACACTTTCATCACTCATAGTGAAAAATCATGTGCATCATGCACGTTGGGGCCAGAGTTCTGTGTATCTACAGCATCCACAGTACTCTTTTCGGGCCCGTAAAGAGCTTCGCCCCTACTAGTCGCTCCATTTTTTTGGGAGCACTCGGATGTACGAGCTTAATAGCGTCCGCGATTATCCGAACGAGCACCCTGCGTCTGTTTTTGACTTGGCAAAGACACTATGCAGCTTCGGGCAATATGACCCGACATCCCACAACAAAAACTTTCCATCGCCGAGAGAACACTCATTTCCAGGCGTGGAAATGTACGAGATGTCCATTGGCTCTCGACGATCACATGTACTGGTCGACTGGACGTGCTTGTTGTGGTTCGAAGCCATCAAACCTGGCTTGTTGGATGCAAAAATCCTATTGCATCGCACGATTGACGGCATCATCCAGCATATTAAGATACTCATAGAACAATTTATTCTGGGTCGGACCATCAAAACGACACGCCATGAACGCTACAATTCGCGATAAAACATTGATTGGACAATGCTCGTTACAATGCAGCGAGGACGCTGTGCATACGAGTGTAGTCTGTTTCAACCTTGACGAAGCTTCAAGAACTCGGCATGGGCGCAGAAGTTTTTCTGTGATGGTTTAAACGCCTTCATTAGCTCGATCTTGAAGTTTTCGTATCTGGAAAGCAGTCTAGATTGGCTAAACGCTTCTCAAACGCTCAACCCTTCGTAATACCCGCAAGGTTGGACATCGTTAGCAACACTTGTTACAAGGGGTCTCGAAGTAATTGCCGCACCCAACTTGACAAACCGCCGGAAGAGAGGCTCACGGTTAAAAGAACCGCTTAGCTTCAGAGACATAGTTCTGTACGGAGAAACAGGGGATGCAACCTGCTTCCGAGAGTCCATAATATTATGATGCATGGAATTGACGGTCGCGTTCGCCATATCATCCGGAGATGATGTCTATAGTAAGCCGACTACAGCAGCTTCGCCAATGACTTCTCGCATCCGCTGAAAAGCCATCCATTTATAATGAGGAACGACACCCCTTTTTAGGGTCGCGTAAGCCATGTCAAGCACGTGCTGTAGGGTTTTATTCATTACACTCTAATCCCTCTCTATCCGGCGCGGGGAGTGAACCCTGGACCTCCCAGTTCTGAAGTGAGTGGCATTCCACTGCACCACAGGATCGGTGCCATCCATTTATGTGAGGACAAACGAGGAAACAACTCATTCGTCAACACCTCATTTTGTGGCACTGATGGACCGAGTGGTACTCCAACTCCTTCCATGTAGCTCGGACAAGGAAAATAGTATGGCTTGGAATAGAATGCGCGCCATGCTCAACAGCCGTGTCTTCAAATCAAAAATGAGTGTCGTTAACAAAAAACCGCTTAATGCGCTATCAGAGAGCGCTGTTCACAAACAGCCCCCCAAACACAGCACACACGCTTGTGCGACGAGGAAGCGATCCATGATATGGAGAGAGAAGGATAGTCCCGAATTGAAGGGGAGAGGAACGACTGCAGCACTTAAAGCTAAATTTGCAGCTGATTTAAAATTCCATGCGCAATACCAAAAGGGGTCCAGAAGGTTTTACAAATCAAGCTTTGGGCTCCTGATTTATATATGAAGGATGTACTGAGGTTGAGCCTCAGCTCAACTTATACAAGATCTTGGTTATTCGGATCTTGAGTTTGAAAATCTTGAACTTCAACTTTTGTGGAAAGTATCTAGTATAAGGGACTGGACACGCCAAACACTTCGAAAGACAGAAACACGTCGGTCTTGTCACTGGTACAGAGCTCCAAGTAAGTCTTCTGTATCAAACAAAACGTTTCTGACTACATATAAGGTGTCACGTATGTATTTGGCACCGTACTGTAATCGCCTTTTCCCACAATTGCGTACAGAAGAAACATATATGTATCTTCATATAATGGCTAAGTGTAGCCCATTGCAACTAAAGAAAACCAATCAATTAATCTGACACTGCGTAAACTATACCACGCTGCTAACAGCTCCTCTTTTCCAGGGCTTGGCGTTTGCGTTGAGATTATGACTGCATGTGGCTTATTGAAAGCGTGCATGATCTGGAAGTATGAAAAGCTATAATTGTTTTGCAACTTTACTCGTTTTAGCCCTTTGACGTTTCGCGCAGTATCTGATTTTACGAGGTAGTATAAATGAATGTCGAACACCTGATCTGCGGGCGACACCTGCGATAGTTATCTCGATATTTGATCGAGTTATTTGCTCAGAATATGATATGATATGAAAAACTTTTAGAATACGTACGAGTAGACAATTTGCGTCTGTCACTCAGTACTATTGGGTAGACTGGATGATGAATTCATCCATGACAAAAAACGAGCTCAGATTCTCTTTCAGTACTATCAGAACCAGCTCGTTAATCTCGCTGTCTCGCAATTCCTAGCCAATTTATCAGAGCTCCATGGGAGCCTCTGCATGGGTTATAGATGCGCGACTAACTTTTATCTTGTACTGCTCCATTCATATTGCCCACCACAAAGTAGTCAAGCTTTAATGCGTTGCACGGTAAACACGACACGCAGTGTTGCTGACTCAACAATACCACCAGGATGAAAATTTATTTGCAACATTGAGCATAGCCCTTCTACTTGCAGCTATCTTTGCAAGAAATTCCATTTGTGATCTCGGCTCAAAGCCCTCGGGGTCGTATCAACAGAGACAAATCCCAGAGACCGCGATAAGACGTCGCCTTCTTCCAGATAAAAACTAAAGGCCCCGGCATAAAGCTGTCCTTCAATGTTTCAGCGGGTGTAATACCTGAACGCTCTAGGCAAACAATCGCTGCCACCCATCTCAATGGTACATTCTTGAGGATTGCTACTCGTATCCGGATTCGCTCCCAGGCTTTTATCGAGCTTTTTTTGATAACATCATTGCTAATTATGTCAACCAATGCCATTCCCTGCACCAACCTGTCACAAATGATTCCCACACCATACCTGTTTGCTTTATATTAAAATTGGGCTTATCACTCATCAACCGTTTACCAGAGAAAAGGTGCGGGATACCAGCTTTTTTAAACCTCAGTCGATTTATGTCTTGACGCCTTCATAGGATGAGATAACTCGTATCCATGTCAAAGTCAAGCGGCCTCTCACCTTACTTAATGCTCGATATTCAGAAGAATATTAACAGAACCCTTGACAAATTTTACGCGTCTTTGCGTCGCGAGATGCCCAGAAGTAGTATTCGCACTTGGCAAACAGAAATTTGTATAAATTTTACTATTTCTATCAGTCGTGTGTCACACGTAACTTATGAATCGTATGAGAATACCGGGGCTTTACAATGCTTAGTTTATTGACGTCTGTGACGAGTAAGCTTGGGCGATAAGCCTTTCCACTCACAGAGATCGTCGTTTCCTTTACAGCAGGGTCACATTGATTTACACTCCATGAGGTACACCAAAGTTTAGGTTTCTCGTTTATGCGCAAAAGAAAACGAAAGATTTGTGATCTGAACCGGCGTGGTGAAGGGGGTTATAACAGGAAACGTTTCTTATTATGGTGTTCATACACATTACACGATTATTGTTCGGCTTAAAGCAAAGCTCAGACGTAAAATGGTGAGCTTGATGATCAAGTATCAAAAGAAGTACACGATATAGATTAGGGTGGTGGAACCCGTCGAGGAGAGATCTGCGGGACACATGAGCCGCCAGCTTCACGATGTGTAGGATCAGAAAAAGCAGGTGCGTCATTACGGTCGACGCCCTGCAAGCCTGGCACGGTGATGCCTGACGTTTGGTGATAATGGACACAGTCTTCTTATCGACTCGACACAGCGCCTGCACCCTCGAAGGGGGCCATATGATCAGCTCTAACCCGAATTATCTTCGCTTCTCTACAAAAACGCCTTGAGAATGAGGTAGCCTATTCCTCTGCAGGAGTCGAGCACACGTTCCCCATGGCGATAAGAAATATAGTATGCTATCAATTAGCCGGATCCGATTTGGCAAATGGATTAAGCCCATCGGCAAGCACAAATAGTTGCGGAAATGTTAGTGCTGTAAATTCACATATGGGATATGGACTTGAAACACCGAAATTCGCCCGACGTGATGCAGCGAGTTATTGCCCAATACACGAGCGGAACATTAGTCATAGAATTATGCATCGTACGCGCAGATCCTCAGTCCTAAGGGATAACGTTTGTGTAGTTAGCATCAGCGAGTGTACTCTATCTGTTAACTTCGCTCTGATACCAAGCGCCGGTGGGAGTACTTGACTCATTCCCGGATCCGGTTAAGAACCACGTCGCCTCACAGTCCCTGTTGCTTACCAAAACGACGATAGCAAAACAGACATTTGATTATAGTATCGTTCGTGGCTTGACTATACAGTCCGTGACTTCGATATGGAGGTCGTCGCTCACCACCGACGCCTTCTTGTCTCCAT